CTGTTTATAAATTTTACTCCAAATAAATTAAGCATGAGCTAATTATACGCATGTCAAAATATTCAGGGGGAAATGTAGTGATGCCCAATATTTGCCTTGAAATGCATCAAAAAATATGATATAGTTTAATGAATGGATAGAGAGATAATAGAGAGGAGAGAGACATGTGATAAAGGAAGTGATGTAAACATTCATAGTGGAATCTAGGTGGTGAATATTCAGGTGTTTATTTTTAAATTATTTCAACTTTCCCACATATTTGAACATTTTCATTATAAATTGTTGCCAAAAAACAGGATTTCTTATTTGATGGGGATTTGATTTATTTTCTAGGGCTAGCTAAAAAAGAAAGGGTCATTATATATTTCTGTTTGCAGGTTATTTTATTTCAATGGGATCACAGCACAGATAGAGATTAAGTTCAAATCCATACAGACAAAGAAATTGACACCAATACAAATAATAATAAAAAGTGTGCATACCTTCACATGTTGGGAGAGAGCCTTCAAATTGCAACTGGGAACTGAGCTTGCAGGTCAGTGTGTCAGTCCCCAACAAAGTGTACCCAGGATGGCACTGGTACTTCACAAAATCTCCTGAAAGAGTCAATACAACACACTAGACAGTTGTGTTCTTGTGACATTCAGAGTGTGTGAATGTATGAAACATACATGACTACTTAAGGAATTAAGTCAATATGCAAACGATTTCAGAAACGATGTCTATATTTTTAGTCTGTTTTAAAAATAGCATTTTCAGTTCTTAATTTATAAAAACAATATCTTAAACTTAATCCATATTAGTAAAGAAATAGTGTGGCAGGTTTTCTTCCTTGACAGATGCATATATGTGTGTTCCCTTTCCCCAGTGACTACCAAAAAATAAAAAACTGAAATAGAGGCTTGCTATTTAAATGAGGTTGTAGAATAGAACGGCTGCAGAGCCTCCAAAGAGAGCTCATCCATGACCTTGGCCTAATTAACACAATACTCCAGTTAACAAAGAAATTGGGTCACCATGGTTTGACCAGTGGTCAGAAATGTGGTGTGACAACAGGACAAAGAATTTTTAATTGGGTCTGAGAAATCCTGGGTCACAACAATTCCACTACAGACATATGCCATGGCTGCTTTCTTAATATGACCAGATAATTATTTCATGAATTAGAGCACCGATAAAGATGATAAAGCATAATTTATAAATCCTATCATTAAATATACTTTAGTAATTATATTCCAGTTGCAATAAAAGGTCTGCATTGTCCTAATCATTATCTTAGCCATAAATGATTAAGGTCTTCCACAAGTACATAAACATGTTCCCCTAACTAACCACAAATATCTGCTCATCCGTCTCTGAAAACTTTAATCAAAACAAAAAGTGAACTAGTAAATGTCACAGGGGAGAAAGTGCTCAAAATGACAAAAGCAAAATTCAAATGGAAAAACAAAAGAAAACAAAAAATCATTGAAATAAAGAGAATCATTTTCTATTTGATACATGACCTCTGTATAAGCCCCCAGCAATACTTTAGAGATAATATTTTCTGACAAATTACCACTAGTCTGAGTAACCAGTGCAGTTAGAAGTGATATAAAAAAGTCAAGTTGAATTCATGGTATGGTAATGAAGAAAATATTACCTATTTCAAAATCCTCATCCTCAATAAGCATTTCTGCCTGTGGAACTGCAGGGGGAGGTTCACATTTCTTGAGCTGAAATGCTAAATGATTTATGAAAAAAAATAACAGCAATTAAATTTGTTGAGTAAACAAAAATATTACAAAAAAGCATTCCTCTTAAAGATGTTATAGTACTTAAGTACACTGAAATGTCTATGTTTATAAACCACTGTTGTATAAAATTCTCAAGCTTCCAATGTTCATACGAGTATTTAATGCCTAGGAATATTTAAAGTCAAAAAAATGTGTAAAAATTTTAAAGATTATAACATTGAAGTAAACCCTCTTTACATATTTTTGAAATTCTGCAAGAGAAATGATTCAAACATGGTGTGGCTCTCTGTCCCTGTCAACATTTGGTAATGTCTGTTTCTTGTCCTGAGGAATTTTATGGGTGGCAGTGTCCTGAGAGATAGGGAATGATATGCTTTATTCCATACTGTTAGAGTTCATTCTAAAGATCATTAGAAGTTGCTTTTGCCCCATTTATAATTACATGACATTTTCTATAAGAGTTCATGTAGGGACAGAAATGAGTAAATCTATAAAAGGTACCAAATGTATTTTAATGGCCTCCATTATCAGAGTTTTACTTATAATATATTTATCCTGAAATGAATCGAAGCTTACTTCAAAACATGACTTGATAAGATGTGAAGTAATAAATAGTAAAGATATCATTAAACCAAAAAGGATCACAGGAAATTGGCCTCCAAGGCAAGACAATCCTAAAAGCTCTCAGTGGACCTAGTCAAGGAATTACAGCTGGAAATGAGGCGTGGGTCAATTCTATGAGAAACAGCACATAGAATTCTGTCTTAATCAATGGGGTGAAAATGAACTGACCGTGAAAATTGAGGACAAAGAAACCTCCATTAGAAAAGTCACTATGGAACTTGAGCAGGACTTGGTTGGTAGAACTATAAGCTGTTTCGAGAGCGGTATTACCACTGAAAACTCCCAGCTGAGGTGAATTCTGATCTGGCCCATCCCTAGGAGAGAGAGAAAGAGCAGTTGGAGTAGAAAGTTCCCATGTCACAGCTGAAAGTAACCACTTTTTCTCCTGACAGCTAGGCTCTGTCTTGCTAAAAGCAATACAGGCTGACCCCAAACCCCAGGCTCCAGGCTCCGCTCCAGGTGCTCAAACCTGGAAAGGCAGCACCAGTTCAACACCCATGTCCAAATCTTGCCTTTTTCAGACAAATGTCAGAAATTTGGTCACATTTTATACCACTTAGTGGCTTCCTTTCAAATTCCCACATTTTAAAGTCTAAATGCAATGATGTTTATTTAATTATGAAAGATTCATGAAAAATTTTGCTAATGAATTAAAATATTTTTTTAAAACTATGAAATATAACATCCTCTGGACACTATTTAGAAATATTAAGATGTTTATTTTTTTCCTTTTTAAAATTTTTTTATTGTAACAGTTGATTGTGCATATCTGTAGGGTACAGAGTTGGATATCAATACCTGTGTTCAATATGTGATGCTCAAATCAGGATAATTAGTATATTCAACATTATACAATGTAATCATTTTTTCTGGCCCTTTACCAATTCCTCCCTTACCCCATCCCACTCCCCCTTTCCCACCTCTGGTAACCTCAGTTCTGTTCTCTCCTTTTGAACGTTCAACATACCATAACTTTCTTCCTTAAGATGTTTAATATTCACAAAGCTGACTAAACTTTTCAGTCTCTCTTTCATGACTGTTCTGATGATAGGCACTGGGCATCTGTTAATTGGCAAGACTTTTGGATTTTACCTTCTAAATAGAAAGCTTAATCTATGTGAAACTGGCGATATTATACTGTTGTTTTGTTTTGCTTTGGAAATGGCAGCTTCATACGGTCAATTTAGTATTTCAAGTTCTGTTTCTTGTCATGTTCATCCACTGGTTCAGGTAATTTTCATCTCCCTCCAAGATTTATTTCTACAGCCTCAAAAGCCAGCCTCCCATCTTGCCCTTTGAAACTAGATTTCCCACAAAATGAGAACAATTCTTCTGCAACCGAAATCTGGCCTCACATGTTCCCTGCTTAAAGCCCGTAAGTGGATCCTCACAGCTCTTAGATAAAGCTCAAAATCCTTAACATGATTTATTATAAGCCCTGTGGTATCTGTCCCTGCTTGTGCAGGTCAAATCTTGCCCTCTTTGGACTCTACGAAGAGTTCAGCCACGCCACACACACACACACACACACTCACACAGACATACCATATGCACTTATACACACATCACACGCTCACCCCACACAGACATGTAGCACACAGATACACACCAATACACACAAACCCACACTCACACAAACCACACACATAATCACAAATGCACCACACACACACATACAGACACACACTCACACAGACATACCATATGCACTTATACACACATCACACGCTCACCCCACACAGACACTACACAGACTTACCCACACAGACATGTACCACACAGATACACACCAATACACACAAACCACACACATAATCACAAATGCACCACACACACACACACACACACACACTTGCGATTACTCCTTTAGCTGTCACAGCAGTTTACTCCAACACCACACCCGTCCTAGAGCCCTCGCGAACAACCTACCTCTCCTATCACAGATCCCAGGAGAACTGTCATTTCCTGTTTCCCTAATAAACTCTCACCTCAGAAAGCAAAGGCAGGAACAGTCACTCCCATGGACATAACTCATTAGAAAGAGCTACAGCTACAGTCCCTCCCTGGTCTCTGGCTCAGTGTGACTCCCTGTCTGTCACATGCAAGGCTGCAACATGTATGGATGATGGAGGGAGGGCTGTGTGCCAGGAGCATCAAGCAATGGTGGAGGACCCTACCAGCTCTTCTTTTAGAAAAAAAAAATCACACTTAAAAATGTAAAATAAAACCATCTTGGCATGTTCCTATAAATTAAAAGCAATCCTGGCTATTTCTACCATGTAGCAAAACCCAAGCATATTAACATTCAATTTATTCTCCATCTCTCAGGATTTTTTTTTTCCTTTTTGTCTTTTTTACTGGCCGGCAATGGGATCGCAACCCTCAGTGTTGCGCCCGCGCCACGCTCAGCCAGTGAGAGGGAACCGGTCACCACATGGGATCCGAACCCTTGGCGGGAGTGCCACCACACTCCCAAGCAGCGCACTCTCCAGTGTGCCACCAGGCCGGCCCTCTCTGGATTTTGATAGTAAATTTCTTTTCCATTATCTAACTAGTTCATTTCTAAATGTGTAATCTGACATGCAAGTGGCATGTAAGTGCTAAATCAGAATAGTTTATCACAATTACAGACTGTTTTTTACTTGAAGGGTTCTCATACCAAACAGCGATGTAATCATTAACCGCTTCTGTCTGCAACAAGGTGAAGTTGATGTAAACTCCATGCCCTGGAGGCACAGTGATAAGCCAAATGCAGTCCTTTAAAATTGGATACTCATCTGGAAATCCGGGGGAATAAATGGTACCATTCTGAGATGTTACATTGTATCCACAAGGAGCTGAAAAAGGAAGCAAATTAAAATTAAGCCTAATACAGTTGATTTTAGTAAGTAGATAGTTAATTATTTCTGTCTCCAAAGTCCCTTAGCCATGAAATAATTGTGAAATATTTGTGACTAATCTTTCAAAATTATTCCCCTAAAATCTGAAAACCTTAGAAGAATTATATTTCTAAGCTAAGTTATGTCAGTTTCATTTAATATATTCTCCAAATCTTCAAAACCCTTCAGGATTAGGTCATTCCCATATGATTGAAAAAAAAAAAATCCTTAGTCAGTTATCATCTGTGACAGCTGATAATCCATTGAACCATCCACTGCAAAGGATTATGTGGAAATTATACATAAATATATAACTGAATTATTTTCATTTTAAGTCATTTCCAAAGCCTTTTTAAGCTTTCTGAAAGAGTGGCATCTAAGTCTATTTGCCTTAAAACAAAGACATTATCAATTCTTCCCAGATCTACACCTGAGGAAAGGAGATAAAATTATGTAAGTGGTGTTTAATTTAATTGAAGCACTTCCATATCTAACTAGTGGTCAATTATGTGAAGAATCACAATACCTAGTCTATTTTTAGTTTACTTAATAAACCTATATTTATTGTTGCTGTGAAAATTATTTTATTTAATTTATGGAAAAGTGATATGACCAAATATTAGTAGAATAATCCAAAATGTATTCTTGAATTCAAGTAGTGGTGTAGCACATCAAAGTTATAGACAAGTAGACTATGACTTTAAATCAAACCAAAAGCCAACAGATGTGGTGTGAGTTTCTACTACTAGCCTGAATCTTGTAGGGCTGTGAAAGACCCACCACATAAAAGGTGTAGAATTTAGGTGGAGTGAAGAGGCCAAAACACATAAAAAGATAAACAAAGGGAAAAGTTTAATTTCAATTCAAAGTAATGACTGATGAAATATGATGTGTCAGTATATGTTGCATTGCTGAATTAATTGCATAGATGCATGCTGATTTCAAAGGAGTTAGAAAACATACCAGTGTAAAATAGACGGAACCTGGCCCAAGATTTGGATAAATTTATTAGAAGAAGGAGCTGTGTGGAACACTTTAGAGGCTTTAGAGTATAATTATCACTAACTGGGGTTTGGAGTCACACAAATTTGGAATTGTAACCTGGCAAAGCAAACCATCACCTGGAGCCCACATTTCTGTGACTTCTGTGTGGTCAGGGCCTGGAACACACTGAGACCTAGAGTCTGAAATGGGACCATTAGTGATACTGTAGTCACAAGCTTCTCATTGTCCCCTGAAGACGGTATGCTTTCCTCACCCCCAGACTTCAGGCAAGTGTCATCCAGCATGAAAAGCTCACATGCTTTTCTCCTACCTTGCCTCTGGGATGAATGTGTCTCTTCCTCCAAATCTTAACTCATACGTCCCCCTCCTTCCAGTCTTTCCTGGTTGCTCTGGCTCTAGATAACTATCTCTGCTCACCTATCAGGTGGCTACAGCTCATTGCCAGATGCTCTTCCACTGGACTGTCAGCTGCTAGAAGGCAAGACTCTGTCTCCTCCCACCCCGACCACAATCTCCTTTCCTTAACCCCCTTGGTCTAGCTCAGATCACGATAAACACTAGGCAGTAAAGAACTGATGTATTGATGAAAGAGTGAGACAATAAACACAAAGCACTTTAATAATAAACACATTGAAGCAAATAGGCTGATACACCTTATGTGTGATGTGATGACATTCACTGGATATTGATTTATAACTCTAAAATTGCCCTTTTGCATTTTTGCTTTTCAAGTTGAATCTTATAGTTGTATAACCACATTATAGGCAGTAGCACCTTTCCCATTGGGAAAACAAAATAAAACACAAAAATGTAGTTCCCATGTATTAAAAGGCAAAAGAAATGATGTGGTGATTTCTTGGTAGGACACATCCCTGACTTCTGATGTTCTTCATGTCACTTAATAGCTCTATAACATTGAACAATTCAGGTATTCTTGCCATGATTTAATCTCTGCTGTTCAAATAACAAAATCCTTTCATTCACTTATTCAACAAGTATTTATTGAGAGTCTGTTATGTTCCAGGAAGTGTGCTTAGGGCTAGGGCTACAACAGTGAACCACAGAGACCCCATTCCTGCCTTTGTGGAGCTTATTGAATACTGATGAAGAGAGATATTAACCAAGCACTAAATAAGCATAAAATTCAACTTGTGTAAGTACCATGAAGGAAAAACAGGTGATCCTTGTCACATGAGATAATAATGTTCTATCAGTGCACATAAAAAGTATTCTCAAGACAAAATCCTCTTTCCCTCCTGCTGTACAGTCTAGAGAAACAAAGAGTCAAAATTTCCTCTCCTGTTTCCCATGATCTGACTTTGTCTAGTCCCAAAGAAGTCTTTATCCTCCCTGTGGTGGCATCAAAGGCACGTTTGGATTTCCTCATCTTGGTATCTTGCTGAATTCCACCGAGAAGGCGGGTGTGTGATCTGACTTGCATGAAGTGCATCCATCCTGCCTTCCTCTCCCTGCAGGTGAGGTTCAAAGTGAAGCCTGAAGTGGAGATCAAGGAGGAAGCTCAGTGGGGAGCCCCGTAGGTGGTCCTCAGCTTCTTCTTACCTGTCTGTCTGGGAGTTTCTGGTCAAAGCATGAATAGAAAGACAACTAAGTAGCAGACCCCAAGCGGATCTGCCGATCACGCATCTCTACTGGAGCTGCTGGAGAGGCCAAACTCTCTCACCCTAGTGAGCCACAGGGTCAATAGAGGCATGTTCATCATGAATGCACAGGCATGTTAAGAATAAAGAGCTCAGGTTGGGAGAAAGAATTACTGTGCAAAGCACAGTTAATGAGAAAATGTTCTCAAGTTATTACTACATGTAATTTTTCCAGAGAAAAAATAAGTACATAAAGATGAAACTGCATGATTTGATGAAATTCTAGAGCCAGCATTAGCTTTGTTGACAATGATGGAGGTGATGTCTAATGTGAACACTACACCCAGTCTGAAATTCACCCGGGTGCCACCATGGCCGTTGGCTGCTGGGAGGAGGCAACTTTTAGGTGGTTCACATACACAGAAGTGATAGCTGTATCTGACTGACTCTTGGCCAGGTGTGAAGTCAGAGGTAGAAGATGCTAGAAGATGCTGAGTGTGGCAGACGTCTGCTTAGGGCTGTGGAAGCAGGAGCCTTCACTTTATTTTACCTGAAGCTGAACCCGGAACAAGCAGGAGCACTGAGACATCTCTTTATTGTGCTGTCTTTTCCTATATATAAAATTTATGTGATGTGACTTTGTCTGAATAGAGGTAGATAGAGCATATTAAGTGATATTACACCAACAACTAAAGTTAAAATAACTACAATTTTAAAACCCTAAATATCTACTAAACAAGTTATGGATAACTTACAGGTGGTTTTTTTCTAGGATTATATTAAGATTTCTGTGGAAACTTTAAGAGTATGAAAAAATATTACAGTATTAAACCAATAAATACATTTGGCATGAATATTTATGCATTTTAATTTCTTGGTTATTAATATATTCAAGTACTGAATGCTTAATCTCACCTAATGTGTAGAGCACTACAGGTATTTCTGATCTCATTATTTTTCCTTTCTTTACTGTGGTTTCCCTGAGATTGTTTTCTGATAAAGAGACAGAGTAGGCTGCATCTCAGGAGTTACTGTTTGGTAATGGAGATTTTAAAAACAGTATTTATAAATACAGGTAAGACAAAGTAAAGATACAGAGTCACATTCTTCATACTCGTTTTTATTCTGAACTATTGGGAAAGATTATTTTCTGTATTTACCGATCAATTTGGTAAACTTTAATTTTTAAAAAATACATACCTAATAATGTATTGTTTGCCTGGCTGGATTTCTAATGTCAACTATGCAGTCAAACTCTGTTCTCAAAATACAGTGAGATAGAAAACGTAAGTTCTAGTGGTGTACAGTGGTGCTAGGCGTCTATAATTAACAGTAATTTATTGTATGTGCTCAAATGGCTAAAAGGGAGGAGCTCAAATGTTCTCATCACAAAGAAATGATAAATATTTGTGATGATGAATATGGTAACTACTCTGATTAGAGCACTACACAGTGTATACATGTATTGAAATATGACTGTATACAATCAATGCTTTTTAATTAAAAAATAAGTTCCTTAAAAAAGCTGTATTCTGCTTACAAAATCTGTCAAACTGAAGGAAGCTGCTCACAAACTATTGCAACACGTTAGTCATCCTAATCAATTACCTCTGTCCAAACAGTTCCTGACCACACAGATACTAATGCATATTAAAGTGACATATATTAAGATGGCGTTTAAATTTTTGAAAAAAGACCTTATTATATTCACATAGGCATTTCAGTGATATAGGGTTAATCAGATCAACAAAATATTTAAAATTTTTGAATCATATTTTAAGTGTGGATACATATTTAATTATCAAACTACATTTAGTAAATTAATAAATCAAATTTTCTTAAGTATATTTTACTAATTATAACCCATATTTTTAAACTGAGACTTCTGTATAGTTGTGTTACTGGCAAAAATATATTTTCTTGAATTTCTCAAGTCACTTTCAGATATATTCTAATATATTTTTATAGATATCGTATTTTTAGATCATAGTTTTTTCAGATAAGTTTAGAATATACTAATTTTGTATAATAGATCTTATGCAACTTATATAAATATTTTCAGCATATGAATAGAAATTGATTTATATACACTTGTGAAGATTGATGCCTTAAGGCTTAGAATTTTTGAATAATCATTTTCTGAACTGGTCAATCTTTAATAAAAGCATCTAGAAGTTCTTCAAAGTATCTATGTTTTTTTCTGGGGTTCTTTTGAAGTCTACAGGGACCTTTGAAGATAGTTTTTTGGTATACTTGCCCTACAAGCAACCATAAATCTGAAGTAATAAACACTGTGGATTAATAAAATACACTTTAGGTGAGGATACTGGATTGTCAACAGTTTGTTGTTGTCTCTGTGGAGGACTTCGCTAAGAGTATATTAAAGGACATCTGAACAGCCCCAACATTCTTATGAAAGAAGGACTATTTTTTGTGGTTGTGAAATATAACCTTTCATAGGTAAAATAACTTTTGTATTAAAATAATACCATCTGCTGAATTTTTTTTTTTTTTGTCTTTTTCCGTGTCCGGCAATGGATCGCAACCCTCAGTGTTGCCCCCGTACTGGACCAGGGACCGGCAACGGGATCGCAACCCTCAGTGTTGCCCCCGCGCCTCGGGAACCGGTCTGTATGTGGGATCCGAACCCTCGGGCAGGAGCGCCGCCGCGCTTCCCAAGCGGCGCACTGGATAAGTGCGCCACCGGGCCGGCCCCATCTGCTGAATTTTTAAAACTTTAATCCAATATGGAGAGGATGTTAAACTCACATTGGATGATTCTTACAAAATCCTATGTGGTCTATCTAGTTGCAATACTTACTTCATAATTAGACACATATCTTACATTTTGATTTTTTCATTCTGGTTATGACATTATTGGTAGGAAGAGAAATATACGTTGTAAAAGTGTTTGCTTAGTAAAGGATTTGGTCTTGTCCAAAGAGAGGCCTGGTCTTTGCCCTTGCTTCCTGGAGGTAGTTGTGGCATACCTGATAGGAGTGTCTTTGTGTAATATGTGGCTGATCTCATCCAATAATGTTAGGCTGGGGCTGGCTATGCCAGAAAGACCAACCATATGATTTAGGCTGGGTACTTTGCATCACACTAGCCTACCTGGAGGCTTAGATCAACCATGTGAACAATCAATCAGTCATCCCTGCATAATGGGACACTAACAAAAACTGCGGACACTTTGACTCAAGTGAGCTTCCCAGGTTGGCAGTACTCTGTGCATATTGTCACACATAGATTCTGGGAGACTTATGCATCCTGCTAGACTCTACCCTATGCATTTTTTTCCTTGGGTGATTTTAGCATATCTTTTCCCTATCATAAACTGTGAACTGAACATAATAGCCTTTAGTGTGTTCTGTGCATTATTCTAAGGAAGTATCAAACCTCAGCATGGTTGTGGAAGTCTGAAGGACTCTAGCCTCTCCATTGGTCTAACTCTGGTTAGTATTATATACCATGATGGAATTAGAGAAAGTACATTTTCTAATTCACCTTTAAACTGTATCAAAAAAGATTTATTTTGTTATTTTCACACTGGTGAAATAGTTCTAAGCCAGAGAAGTTAAGTCCACATTGAAAAACTGAGCTTGAAAAAGCAATGAAATCAAATTAAATATTTAATTCTATTTTTGAAATATTTAGTCAAGGAGTCTACCATTTACATATGAATTCAAAGGATTCAAGATAAAATTTCAAATAAGAAAATGTTCCCATCCTAATAATTTGAAAGTAATTTACACATATAAGTATTTTTTTTTTTAATGGAGAGAAGGGGCTGGTCAGTTAGCTTAGTTAGAGTGCAGTGTTGTCCCATGGAGAGGAGTATTAAAGATTTCTTTAAATGTTTTAATAAAGCAAACAGGTACATTACTACTATATTTAGTACTGTTTTTTTAAATTTTTAAATGCTTATTTTATATGTATTTAAATATTAGACTATGATAAGAACTTTTAAAAATACAGCTAGAGGGTTTTTTTATAGTTGTTTTTATAATGATATAGAATGGAAAAATACAGGTAAAAAATATGATTTAAAACATCCACTGATGTGCTTTTTATTTCTTCAGTAGAAATTCAAACACAGCTAGATGTCTTCCCCATGGGATATAAGTGTTTAGCATTTCAAAGTTCCACAGAGTTGGAACTTTTTATTCAAAGGAACTGTATTTATAATGTTAGAATATAGGATATTGGGTTTATACTAAAGTTTGTGTTACATATGCATTCTTTATAAATGTAGTATATGATCTATTTATTTATTTATTTATTTATTTATTTATTTATTTATTTATTTATTTATTTATTTATTTATTTATTTATTTATTTATTTATTTATTTATTTATTTATTTATTTATTTATTTATTTATTTATTTATTTATTTATTTATTTATTTATTTATTTATTTATTTATTTATTTATTTATTTATTTATTTATTTATTTATTTATTTATTTATTTATTTATTTATTTATTTATTTATTTATTTATTTATTTATTTATTTATTTATTTATTTATTTATTTATTTATTTATTTATTTATTTATTTATTTATTTATTTATTTATTTATTTATTTATTTATTTATTTATTTATTTATTTATTTATTTATTTATTTATTTATTTATTTTTTCCTTTTTGTCTTTTTTCGTGTCCGGCAATGGATCGCAACCCTCAGTGTCACGCCCGTACCGGACCGGGACACGCAACGGGATCGCAACCCTTGGCATCGCGTCCGCACCTCGCTCAGCCAGTGAGCGGGAACTGGTCTGTTTGTGGGATCTGAACCCTCGGCGGGAGCGCCGCCGCACTCCCAAGCGGCGCACTNACCGCCGTACTCCCAAGCGGCGCACTGTAGCAGTGCGCCACCGGGCCGGCCCATGATCTATTTATTTTAACTTAATATTGCAATATCTAAGTCATCATAAAAATTAGGCAGCCAAACAGAAGCTTTAAAGTAGTGATTCCTGCTCAGACTAGGGACATCCAGTGAGTACTCTATTTATTTTAACTTAATATTGCAATATCTAAGTCATCATAAAAATTATGCAGCCAAACAGAAGCTTTAAAGTAGTGATTCCTGCTCAGACTAGGGACATCCAGTGAGTACAGATCTTGCCCCTCACTGCTGTCCAACAACCTGACTCCAGCATGCCCCAAGAAATCCCGATCACCATGCCCTATTAAGCTGCACTGCTTTATTTTGTCCTGAGGCTGCTGCTAGACTACACCTTTGCTCACACTGCTTCTTCTACCTACAGTGTTTTCTAACTCTGAGTAGCAAAATACTTCGCATTTTCAAGGCCCACTACAAAAATGAATTCAGTTTTCTGAAATGTAAAAGCAACACATGATTATTGTAAAAGTTAAATGATAAAAAATACTTAGGATAAAATTCAGTAAGTACCCTTTTCCCCTCGATTATACAATTTAATGTGACCACTGTAAAGTTAAATACTGCTGACATCATAAAGGCTTATCTGATTACTTCCCAAGAGTATGCCATCTTCTGGACCTGCCATCTATCATAACACTCTCCTTGTGTCTGTTTTTTCATTATACTTATTTGCATTTATTATTTTGTTGTCTTTATAACTAACTTCCTAGAGAGCAAGGGCTGTTTATTAATTTTTTTTAACTTACTGGTATATGATATATTTCTGAAATACTAAGTAGAGTGAGTATAACATAATAGATTCTCAATAAATATTTGTGGAATAAATTAGTGAATTATTGGATTTGTTCACTTAATATTTAATGCACTATTATATTGATGAAAAACTAAATTGTTCTCAAGAAAATTTATTAACCTACCATCGCATCTTGGGAAAGGGTAGTTCCAGTTTCTGTTGATTCCATGCTGGCAAGTGAGGACAGGATGGCCTATCAAAATGTACCCAGGATAACACTCAAAAGATATTGACTGTCCCACACTGTAATCTGAGTTGATCATATACCCATTCTGAAACGGAGGTGGATCCGGGCAGTTCTGTAATTCATAGGCTGAAACAAACAAACAGACAAAATCAAGTTCATGCATAAGAGGTTAAATTAGTCTGCAATTTAGAGGAGGAATGTGACAACATGCAGCATCTTAAGATTAACTTTTTGCATATAAGTTTTAAAAAATGTCTTTCCCAAATTGTCAGTGGCCAGCCTGACCAAGTAAAACAATTATTAGCAGTAGGAATAGAACTACAACCCCTGCATTTAAAGAACACTTTCTGTATGCTTTAGAAGGACTACAGCTCATATTGAAATGAAATCTGACAATTTTTCTTTGGAAAGAAAGAATATGACATAAATTTAATTTTAAAAAAATAATATGATAATAAAAGATGCTATAAATAATGCTTGGTAAACATTGATCTAATAATTCCCTTTTAATTTAAAAGAGAAATATACTACCACTTTAATTTAAGTGCTTCTAACTAGGAAATACGTAACTATTTTGTTTTGCTTAACTTAATTGTGTGCTTAATATAAATAAAATGGGAAAATCTATCTCATTTTCTTTAATCTTTTTCTTAAAGAAGAAAAGAACTGTAGAATCACTAAACTATCAATTGTTATTAGTATAATTTTTTACAACATGTAGTTTATTGAGTTTTATCATAGAGTCTTTAATATTCCCTAGGACAAACTCTAGGTAAGATAAAGATCATAAATGCTGTTTGAAGTATGTGTGATTTGAAAATTTACCCATAATTTAGTAAGAGCTAATTAACCCATAAACTAGGTATAATCTCCTGATATGGTAACCTTGAAGCTAAGTGAGCCATGGTGCATACATCTCTCACCCACTCTGGAGAAGGCATGGATGTGGCAAAGCAGTACAACCCATCCTCTCTTATTCGTTAGAGTACACTCTTACTCGTAAATTATCTGTAAATTATTTAACCATTTACATCATTAGAAGTGAGGGTGTGGCTTCGAAATTTGTATATAAATGCTAAAAAGTTATGTGCCCTATGGTTTATGGCAGGTGTTTCCTAGAATTTTGGACTTTCTGTGTTAATCACCTGAAATAAAAAGGGGTGGGAGAGCACATGAGCAACAAGGTAAGAGAGGAAGCTCAGGAGACATGGGAACGCATCGAATGGCGCGACCTCAAGTAGATCGTGAAGGCTGGAGGGATTTCCAGAGACTAGAGTTAAGAAGAAGGAAGGGCTCTGAAATGAATTGGCCCATATTTCACATTAAAGGGATTGGATATTACCAGAAAGATATTGTGGGAACCACATGGAAAGAAACCAGCAGGGATATTATAAGTGGGCTTACAGTCTGAATAATCGATGTAGTTGCTGTTTAAAGTTTGGAGTTTGCCTTCATTAACATAGCCACATATTAAATATCATGTAGAGCCCTAAGGTTTAATTATTATTTGATTGTTCTTGTTTAATAAGCTACTGAAATGGTATTTTTTTCTCTTTAAAATAACAATATGCAATGCCAGTGGGTCATCTGAATAACATTTTTAATATAACTTGCCATAACCCTTTGGAAAGGCAATTTGAATAGAGCCTTAAAGAAATCAGTTTTGACATTTAACCTAGTAATAACATCTACAGATCTACCATGAGAATAATTTCAAAGAAGAAAAAGCCAAATGTTTAAAGATAATAAATTGCAGCATTATTTACATTATAGTAAGCCAAATAAACAAATAAATTATAATATACAGACTCAGAAATGCCAAAGAGCTATACTATTATATCTTCTAATAGCCACAGACGATATCTATCTATTTTTGTACCTATTTACATTTATATTTATATTTCAAAAGGCACTGTTCAGTTAACAGGATATTATAGTTAAACCCTGACTATAGTAAGCAGGTTAAAAAATCCTTAATTTCATCTTTCAGCATCCTTTGGTTTTATTTCTATTTATATATTAAATTATGTAATGTCACTAAACAAGAGTCAGATAAGCAGCTGAAGAGTGGCTGAGAGCAAGAAAAGAGAAAGCAGAGGATACAGCAATGGCAAAAGCATCTTGACGTAATTCCTGGCATTGGCTCTCCCAGGAACCAGAACTGGGAAGAACATGGTACCAGACAAAGTTCTCCCAGAGTGGGAGTAGAGAAAATGCAGAAAAACGTAGGAGTAGGAAAGCACGGACCAGCCTCTGACAATCAGAACTCCATTCTGATTCTGTCCTATTACAATCCAGACATCATCTCCTGTATCTGCTATCTAAAGATGAAAAATAGTATTGCCTAATTAATAAGATCTGGGTGAAAAAATAAGCTATATTGTGTGATCAGAATTAATAAACTATAATATGCTTCAGATAAAATTGTTTCATTTTATTTGTAACACACCTGAATATTATAAAAAATTACCAATATGACATTGGTAATATGAAATAAGGAACAGCTGTGGAAATCGAATATTTTCATTAATTCTATGCTGTCTTTTCTACTGTAGCCTTTAGAACTCAATAGAAAGGTACAAGTTTTATTTATAGAAAATCATTAAAGATAATTATAAAATGACTGTTCTTACCACTAACATATACAATTATGATTTGTTAATTAAAAATATTAATAAAAATAGATTTAATTTAAAAAAAAGAGTGAATGTCCTGGTGCTGCTTTTTGGTAAAGCTACATTATAACATGGAACTACTTAAACAATTGAAAAGAGACACTCTCTGTATAAAGATTTATTCTAGATTCATAAGTGCTGTAATATGTACAATATTTGCTAATGAAATTCAAAGTACTAAGAATCATTTGCAAAAAGTTTTCAACTCACAATTTTGTGAGAATGAAATTTGCAATATAGCATAAGGACAGAGGCGCTCGGCCTCGAAAAGTGTTTTTCAGTTGTTTCTGCATCTTATAAGTAGAACATTGAACTGTTGACATATTTTGCATAATACCAGACTTAAGTAAAAAATTTTATAGTTGTCCAAAAGAAAAAAGTATTCAAACCTTATGAAACGCTTATGTACGAAACAAATACCTCAAAGGCTGCAATGACATGTTCCTCATTGATTGTTTTTGTGGGTATTACCATATTCTATCTGAAAAACCAGATTCTTAGAAAACTATGACAGTAACTGTGAGAACAGGGAACATTACAACTCACTCACTCATTCTCTCACACACACACTCTCTCTCACACACACCTTATCTCCATTCCCCAATTGTGCTGCTCCCTGGCCCAACCTGGCAAAAAACACAGCAAGAGCAACTCTGCCTCACTTTTGGGCCACCCCATGCTGAAGGCCATAAAAACAGCTTTTTTCTGAAAGCCAGTGCTAATGGCCTAGAAAACATTCACAGCGCAGAGTAGTGCTCCTTGTTATATTGTTATGTGAGTCTAAAATTGCTTTATAGTCACATGCTCACAGAAAGAACAAAGAATTCCATACTGTATTTCAACTACCAACAAACTTCCTTCTTAATTACACACTTTTAGAATGACATCAGAATTTGTTCTTATTCTTGTTTTGCTTTAAATATAAATAAACTCTGTTGGAGAGATGAGTCCTCTAATACACCAAATAGGACTGCTAATAAAAACTTTTAAGAAA